TTTCAAAAATTCATAACTCCGTCAAAGAGTGACCGCAAAAACACTGTGATTTTCGCCCGTTTTTCAGAGCAGATAATAAAAAAAATACATAAAAATATGTTTTTGGTCGCAAATTACTTGTCGTAAAAAACTGAAATGAGCATAGCTTTTAGTAATTTGAAAATTTTAAAAATCACCCCTACTTAGGGGTTGAAAAAATGCCAAAAATTAAGAATTTGAATATTACCAATTAATATAAAAACTATTAGCATGTGAATTATTCTATTTAATGATTCTTGATACAAAGAGATTTATTTTCATTACAGCAAAAAGGCATGTTGGATTTGAAAATCCACCATTAAGCGCACTTAGGGGGTGAAATCATCCCCAAAAATAGAGAATATCAGAAATAATTGTAAAAATTCCTATAAAATATATTTTGGTAATATTCAATTCTTCATTTTGGGCGTCTTTTCAAGCCCTAAATAGGAGTGATTTTTGAAAATTTTCAAAAAACTAAAAGCTATGCTCATCTTAATTTTTTACAAGTAATTTGAGACCAAAAACATATTTTTATCTACTTTCTTTAGTTCTCTAAAGTGTGAAAAACGGGCGATTTTTGCGGTCACTCTTTGTGTGTTAAATTAAAGATCTTTTTTTTATAATTCGTATTTTATTTGATTTTATTCTTAAGGCTATGTTTCTTACAAAACGTGCTTATAAACTATATTTATAATTGTATTACTCGGATTACATATAAAGAGATTTTGTTCAAGAGATGTGACATTTACATAGTAGTAAAAATCTTTATTCCACTCTTAAGAGGAAATACACACTTCTTTAACAATATAAAATTAATTACACAGCATTACACTTTGAAAAACCGCGGTCTTTTTACTTTGGTCTTGCTTCCATCATTGTTTGATTAACACTGACTGCTCACAGGCACTACACGGCCTTTATATAAACTAATGACACTTAGAAACTTCCGTTAAACATTCATGAATGATCTACATATATGCCAGGGTAACCAGGGTAGTTCAATAAGTAATCCAATATATGAGGAATATTCAATATGTACTAGTGGATATGTCCAAGAAATGAGGACAAAAGGGCCTACCACCCTTATTTCAAAGCCTAAGTAAAATCGTTCTTGGGGAGTTGTGTCTGGCAGCTGAGGAAGAAGTATATTTAGCTACGTCACACTCAGGCATTCCATCAGAGATTTTATAACATTATTTTGATATCAATTTTTTCTTTCACGGAAACACGCTTCCTTTTTCCCGACATGCTCAAAATGTGTGTGATTATATTTACGATAACACCTAAGAATTCAAAATTGAACTAAAATTAAAACCAGATTCCCTCGGTTTCAGAAATCAATTTTGCGAATCTCATTATCGTTAAATAATGTTTCTTTCTACCTACTTTTATGTAGTAGATTGGTGTCCACGGTCGTTTAACAGAAAGGTCTTTATTGGAGTATCCACAAGCAAGGGAATTTCCATTTGTAAACTCAGAGCATTCAAAATCGGTAGTGGTCGCTCGACACAGGTGGTCACTAACAGAGGTATTACTCTAATTGATACCAATACAGGGTGTTTCAAAAAACGTTCCGCTAATTTCTAGGGTAAATAGAAAGGGCACTTATTAGTGCTGCCTGTTGTTACTTTTTTAAACCAACAGTATGAAACAAATGGAGTGTCAGAAAATGCAACTACATAGAAGAAAATTTATAAAAAGTGATTGCTTTTTAAGACTTTACGTGTTATTTTACAGTCACCATATTTTTGTGAATGAAAATTTTCGAGTAAAGAACATGAATTCAGAAAGACTTGAAATGGTTAGAACCTACTTTTTTTGTCGGGAGAAAATTGTATGGCTGCAAAAGGATGTATTATTGCAACCGATAAGTACCAATAAGAAAATGTTTGTAAGATTGATTCAATATTTAAGAGGTTA